AGTATAAAATGCTTAGTGCAGTTATACTCAAGCTTTGCGTTTGCAATGGAGCAGGACGCAGTTTGATAGAATTTGGTTCATAAATTTATGGTATGATAAAGTATAACACATCTACCATTGCCATAATGTTCTACCACTGCACCTTAACAATAGAAAAAAGTAAATTATCAAACATTCGAACAATATCACCAATTATTCATTAAATTAAAAACTCAAACCTAACTGTAAACAATCTTACTTTGACAGTTCTCATTGTGTATCACAGCTTTTTGTTGCTGCTTAGTTCAAATTAGCTGTTGTCATATATTATGCAAAAAAAATAATAATAGTGCTGCACCCTGTTGGGAAACCTTACAACTTTTTAGTGTTATTGCATATTATAGAACCAACTTGAAAATGTTAAAACAGCTGACTAAATTCTTTACAGTAATTCCCTTTAAATATGAATACTCATAAGGTTAACATGGGGAACTACAGAGCCACTGGGGCGGAACCTGAAAGGATTTTTGAGATAAGAATATGCCATAATGTTAATCGGGAATGTGAGCTATCATCATGCCAAATTTCAGCCCAATCCGTCCAGTAGTTTATGCGTGATTGAGCAACACACAGACAAACTCACAAACTTTCAGATTTATAATATTAGTAAGATTTAATAACATTAATTTTAGGAAGTACTTGATTTGCTGCTACAGGGAAGATATTGAGGTGTATTTTTTATTGCAATGTTGATAGCTTAGTATGAAATAAACCAAATTTCCAAATTTGGTTAAAATATATCCACAAACAAGCAAACTACAACAGTTTTTATAAGAATAACATGGGAATTTTTAATTTACAACTTTTTAAATTATCTCCGTAACCGTTGGGCATATAACAATGCTTCAATATACAAAATTATTTCTTTTTTTAAGGTAAAAAAAATTGTTTGGAGAAAAATTATGAAATTTTGGGTTTTTAGGATCATAAATGGGAAAAATCTATTTGTACCCCAAAACAGCTTATTTAACCCCTTAAAACCCCCGTTCCCTTGGTCCAATCATGCTGGTTTGCGAAACACACGTTTGTACCGAATTTCATCAAAATCGTATGATTTTTGCTCGAGTTATCCCGCTAACGGACACACACACACACACACACACCTGGTAAATTCAAAAATAGTGTAATTTAAAATTCCTACGTTATTCTTATGGAGAAAATTAAAACTGTTGTTTTTTACTTGTTTACACACATATATATATATGAATTTGAACGGATGGTGTTTTTTTTTAGTCTACACCTTACCATGAGACCTACGATAATAGCTTATTCCCTATATTTATGGGAAATTCGTTAAAATGACAGGACATTTATCAATACAGTATAGTACTTAAATTTAAATATTAGATATTAGAAATTAAAACAAAATAATTTTAATACTTAATCCTACCAATTTACACTTAAAAATGCATTCAAAGAATAAAATGTTTTTCTTAGCAACCACATGGTTCTGGAAACTCCAGGAATCCGAAGCCCGGTCATCGTAAACGTAGGTTAACCGAAATACTACTATAGGATGTCATTTTTATGTAATTTTGATACTTTAAAATCAATATATTATGCTCATATTCATTCACATTCATCCTACGGGTTGGCAATTTATGGGGGCACTACATAGCAAAACTTAAACAAAATCTTAAAACTTCAAAAAAGAGCTTTGCAAATAGTGCTAAATCTAGAGCTTGACGCATTGGTAAAAAATCTGTTTTGCAATTTAAACATACTAACGGTGTATGACCAATATATTTTGGAGTGCATAATCTGCACATAAAGTTAGCTCCACAATCACATTTTTCATAATACATTCCTACTATACTAGAAATAGAAATACAATTAACATTCCCCAACATAAACTTAGCTTTTAGCGAATTTCCCATATAGGGAATAAGCTATTACCGTAGTACTCATGGTAAGACCTGGACCCGGGACCGATATATTTTTTGTTTTGAGGTCCCTAGAGGCCAAAAACACCATCCGTTCAAATTCATATATATATATATATTTGTCCGTTAGCGCGATAACTTGAGCAAAAATAATCTATAATAATTGATTGTGATGAAATTTGGTACAAACGTGTAAACCTACGTTTATTCAAACGAGTTCGCGAACCAGCATAATTGGACCATGGGAACGGGGTTTTATGGGGTAAAAATGGGTTTTTCCCATTTTTGACCCTAAAAACAAACAATTTTGCAATTTCTTTTTAAACCGTTTTGTAGAGCTTAAAAATATAAATAATTTAGTATATTGAAGCGCTGTTGTATGCCTAAGGTCACGGAGAAAATTCATAAATAGTGTAATTTAAAATTCCTACGTTATTCTTATGGAGAAAATGAAAACTGTTGTTGTTTACTTGTATATGGATATATGTTGATAAAATTTGGTAAATTTATTTATTTCATTCTATACTATTTACATATGGTCAAAAACACTTTTTACCTTCCCCGTAGCAGCAAACCTAAGCACTCATTAAATCTAATGTTATTTAAATTGGGAATAAATATGTCTTATTTATGGAAATATTTTAGTAATAATGTAATCAGAAAAGTTGAAATTCGCTCAGTCTGCAGGTTTGCTGTGGCAAGGGTAAAAAATCTCCAGATATGGGGACAAAATTTTTAAATAAACCCATCAATCTTTAAAACTCATATGGATAAAAAATGTTTTAGATATTAAGTAAAAACTTATCTCTTAACAACAAATTGCTACTCTATACAAGAGTTTTGTATTTGAATCACCTTTTAAATCTGGCAACAATCCTAGTTTTAAATTTATCAGTTTGTATCGTATATATTTTTTCATATTTCAATATTGTGTATGCTTACTGTTCTTAATGTATAGATTTGTTACTAATGAAAATGAAAGTTTTATTTTATTTTATTTATTTATTTATTTTTTATAAAACCAATATTATTAATTACGAGATATTAAATATATATTATATAATTAAATATGCTCACGGATGTTGCCGCGATCGCGTGATACAGTTGCCGGTGTCGTCGAGACTGTAAGATATGCTCACCGGTATTCACGCGATTGCGGGAGATGATAACTGGGGTCGCCTCACCGACCAGTTATACTGTTTTAATACGTTGTTTAAAATATTATTCTTTGGAAAAGTTTTGTTTCAAAGTTATAGTGCCTACCAGTTATTGAATAAATAAATAATACGATTTATGACTTACTATTTCTGAAGTACATTTTTAAATACATTAGTTAACTGCATTACCGAATGTGATAAAAGTGATGATTTCTTTTTAAAAATCTTTTAAAAGTTTTTACTTAATATAAAACGGCGTGATAAAGATTAAAGTAGGGTTCGGATAGTAGTTCTTAAACTTCAGGAATTTGTCTTGAATTCTCTTGGAAAACTCCTTGAATTTTTCAAACCAGATTTAGTAGACACCATAAACCAGTCTTTAGATGCTTTTTTAAAATTTGTTTGGATTGGCTTTGTTTTTTAAATCATCAGGAACTCAGTTGTACAATTTTGGTCCAGTATATTGAGGTGACACTTCAAATAGTGTTAATCTATAGTGGGCTTGTTTAGGTTATGTCTCTAGTGTTATATATATGTTATACAATTTTGTATCTATGTGTGATAAAATGTGATAAAATAATGTGATAAAAGTGATGATTTCTTTTTAAAAATCTTTTAAAAGTTTTTACTTAATATAGTTAATATGTTTAGGTTATGTCTCTAGTGTTATATATATGTTATACAATTTTGTATCTATGTGTGATAAAATGTGATAAAATAATGTGATAAAATAATGTGATAAAAGTGATGATTTCTTTTTAAAAGTTTTTACTTAATATAAAACGGTGTGATAAAGATTTTGTATCTATGTGTGCTGCAGGAATCCAATACTGGGTCCCTTACATAAAATCATTGTTTAGAATATACAGTAGGCCTATGTGCTTGTTTGATAATTTTAGTCCTTTGATATCCATCCCTCAAGTATGTAGAAAACGAATGTAATTCCTTATTTTTTATTCCATATTTTTCATGTTTGTCTATCAACAAGCTGTGATGAACACATTCAAAAGCTCTGGATAGATCACACAGAATTCCTGTTGTCCTCTGAGTTCCATCTAAGGAACTCGCAACCCAATTTACTAATTTTGTGATTTTTTGCTGAGCACTTAATCTATTTCTAAATCCAAATTGGGAATCATTGAAAATGTTGTTATCTTCTAAACAAGTTTTCAATTGTAGGTCAACACATTTTTCTAATATTTTAGAAATACTTGAGAGCATGCCTTTTGGGCGATAATTTTCTAAAGTGTTTTTATCTTTTTTGTTATAGAGTGTTAACATTTCTGAGTATTTGGTTTGTTTGGGAAAATGCCGTATACTAAGGACTGGTTTATAAGGTTACAGAGAGGAGTTTGTATTACATATATTACATGCTTAAGTGAGAACAATAGAATCTGATCCCACCCTACAAAATATATCCTTTGTAAAATGTATATTTGTAAAATATATATATTGCCTTTGTGTTATTTAAAGAAAATAAAATTTTCCTTACATCTAATTCAGTAATTAGTTTGAATTTAAATGCCTAGTCTATGCCTACTTTAGATCAGGTCAGAAGGCTATGGGCGTCCAAAGTTATCTCTAAATGCCACAGCCACGCTAGCTGTCATGTGTCTCGGATGATGAAAATCTGATGATATTGTGTACACCAGCGCTACTGATGAATCTTGCTTGCAGTGCTTAAACAACTTCTTCATGTTAGCATCCAGGACTGTTATTCCTCTTCCTGCAGCCAGTGGAAGAGATGTTTTGGCAATCCTAGGGTTAGTGGCAGGACCAGCCGATTCACGGACATTATTTTTGTGTGCTATCGGTGTTACAAGAATGGAATTTAGTGCTGTGGTTCTCGTTATCTTTATACATAAAGAGTTTTTTTCCAGCATAGGCTAAGTGTACACAGATGATTTGATTTTTGTTGTAGGAAGTAAACTCTGAAGGCCGCGAGAGCAGGTTGCGTGAGAGACTGAAGGAGGTTGCTGGTACTCTGGAGCGAGTCAGTCGCAATGCAGAACTGAGGCAGAGACAAGCTACTGAACTGACCAACGAGTTGAAAACTGCCAACAAGTGAGACACCTCTAGTAGTATGGAAATTGTTTGACTGATTGATCATACTTATTTTATTCTAAATTTAATTAGTAGGCCTAGGCGATACTTAAATTTATGGTTCAAATCTATTATTTGATGATTATTTTTTTAAGGGTTTGTAAGCCCTTTTAAGCGTATTAGTGCTAGGTAGTAATTTTTTTCTTAAAACTAGAATTAATATTTACCAAGCTTTCACAAATAGGGATTAAACTATTTCATGATAACACCTGGACCTAGGACCGACTTACTTTTTCGTTTTGTTTGAAGTCCTCATAGGCCAAAAACAGGATTCGTTCAAATGTTGTGTTGCCCTTAAAGCTATCAAATAATAATAACTTGCAACCTACTCCACTTTTCTACTCGATTTTATAAATATAAATTTACTTAAAAATAGATAATCAAAATTCCAATAAAGTTACAATAAGATATATTTCGGTTCTATAGCTTATTTTACAATAATCTCATGGGCTATGTCAGTGAACTTATATTTTGGTCTAGATTTTATAGATGGGCTAGATAACAATTTGGAGAGCAATGATCTTAATCTAGGGGTTGGTTCGTGCCGGGAATGAAATTCTGATAGGCTAATTAACTTAATTCATACTAATGTAGGCTATTAAGTAATTAGAGTCACAAAAATTTAGGTTAGAAGTTCTTAGCTTTAAACAGTCACTTCAATTTAGGCTATACAGTATCTTCGAATTCAATTAAGTTAATGTGATTGTTACTAGAGTTCACAATGGACAAAGATGGTGGTTGGAAATTAATGATGTTTTTTAAATGTTTATGTTTGATATTACCAATTTCTGTTGAATACTTATCTTCTGGTCTTGGGGTATCTTTATTATCGATATTTCTATATGTTATGAATATTAATTTTCTAGACTTTTGACTATTTAATTGCTGGAGACTTGGCTCCCACATCCATCTCTATCTAGATCTTCCACCAGAAGCTTATTTAATTTTCTTTCTTCTAGGTTCATTACAACAATGTAACCTAACATATGTTATACATAGACAGTAGAATGGGAAATATTTATGATCCAGGCACTTATTTCGTTTTAGCATATTATTTTTGAATACAGTTTCTCTTATTATTAATTTTGTTGAATATAATTAATTAATATTGGAGGTAATTTAGTTACAATTCGCATTTAAATAGATTCATGTTTTATCTCAAACTGCGCACATCAAACGTTTGTTTGATTACTAAGTTTGATGATAACAAAGGATAGGCGTCTTGGTCACGAAATCACAATCGAAACACAGTACAGTAACTAAATTAATGTGAACAGTCTCTTCTAAAATACTATTGAATGGGCAAAGCACACTATTTAAAATTTATTGAAAAGTCTAAAATGTATCTCAAGGCTGATTATTGGGAATGTGGTGAGGCTCAAGGTGTGTGGTGTGTAGAAACAGCAAGGTTAGTTCCTAGAGGTTAGGTTACTTCTGGTGCTTACATCTTGATTTCCACTCTAGACTAGACTCAGAAGAACTCCCATTCTCTTAATAAAAAAGGTAAAAAAGGCAAAATAGAGCCTGCGCCTTGTTTATGAAAGTGTAGAACAAGTGAAATTATACTATACTAGTGTACCTGTTGCTCGAAATTGAGCAATTGTCAAGTACCGGTATTATGCAGGAGTTATTTTAAAACTACAGTAATAACAGTCATAATTCTCGACGAGTTTAAAAGACCCGACTAAATGCTAAGGTAACTAATTGAAATACTCACGCTATTTAATACCGCTTTGAAATTATAAATAAACGCTTCTTGTAAACATATTTTAGAATTTTTTTTACCCGGCCTTATTTTTTAGTGTTTTCCACAAATGTTTCCCGACTTAAAGCTGATACCAGTAAACATTTCTTGCATGTATTTCTTTGATCTGACTTTAGGTAGGTTTACTTTACCACTGTGACAACATGATGTGTATATTCTTCATGGTTTTTTTTACTTCCAAAATAAGTTGCTTAGCATAACTGGCAAAATGATTCATCTCAAGTGATTGTGTACCTGGATTCCTTACTGTGAGACCAGGCCTCTACTCTACTCTTCTCATACGTATAAGATCTCCTATTAATTGTCCCCTCCTCCTGTCTTCAATATTTCTCCTTTAAATTCAAGAAATTTTCTGTTCTTCCAACAAAACTGATTAACTGTTTAGATTTGTTTATAACCTCATAAATATTACAAACATCAATATTTACTCCAAAAAATCTGGTGAGTTTATTTTTATGTACAGCTGTTTTGTTTTTAAATTTGTTTTCAATGTAATTCTTATGGGGGAAATGCGACCTTTGAGAGCGTCTCGTGCCCTTAAGGGTAATAGATTTAAAATTCTAAAACCTTTATGCAAAACTACGAATTGAGACGAATCATTTTACACCTCAAACGTTAAAATCAGTCCAGAAATAAAAGAGGAGTTTTGTTCACAAAAAACAGCCCTCACGTATTAATATAAGAGATTCCCGATCATTCTTTTATTCAAATAATGCATTTACATTTTTCAGATCAATGTTCTTTGTATTTATTTTGCTAACCATGTATAGTCAATAATTTTAAAAATTTAACAAATAAAAAAACAGTTAAAAAATATAAAACAAATTTTTCAAAAATTTTTTTCTCTTGTTAAACTGTACAATACTATGTTGGTAACAAACTGTGAAAATTTGGAAGTGATATCTGTTATAGGTAATCAGAAAAGTGTGAAAGAACCATGTATAATTTAACATTGTGGCAAATGGCCCTACTGAGCCCCCGTGGGTCTGGGTCTTACGATATTTCTAAACGAAACGTAAATCAACATTATGTCTCAACAGTTTTTCGTGTGTATCCCAGTCACAGGAACTACATTATTCTATTAATATAATGATCAACATTAATTTTGCAAGAAAATTCAATATTTTAATATTTGTTCATGTAAAATTAATTGTTTTCAAAGCAACCATCACTTAATTTGAATACAATAATTAAATAACAATCTATTCATTAGTTGATTTGGAATTAGGAATCACGTCTCTATTTCATAGTAAATATCCTCTAATGACCAAGTGATATTATTAAAGTAAGTATATTTAACTATTGTCAATTAAAAGAATATATTATGCCAGTTTCAGTTAGTTTGTTTTGATTTAACCGCAAAATTTGACACGTATGAACACATAATTGCACTAAAAAGGTTCATCTTCAAAGATATTCCACCACAGCTTAACCGCTTCTAGCTAAAAAAATCCAATTACACTGTACAGACACTCTATTCTTCACCCCACGCTGTAAATAAAACATGTGATAGGAATTTCTTACATTTGTTTTGATTTTCTGTTTATATTTTGTTGTTATCTCGTCACCAGTTTGGCAACCTATAAGTCCCATGTTAATTATTTTGTAATTTTAAACTCATTTTTAGTGCTTATTTGTTAGCCAATTTAATTTTATAAAGATACTAGCTGACCCGGCGAACTTCGTATCGCCTAAGTTATAGGTTTCCCCTAAGACAGACCGATGGAAAGAAAGTACCGTTACGTTTAATTTTCAAGATGATCTCGTTCGCATCGCTCAATCACGTCCTGGTTGAAGTTCGTTCGCTACGCTCACTCACCTTTGGGGTGGAGCTCGTTCGCTACGCTCACTCACCTTTAGGTTGGAGCTCGTTCGCTGCGCTCACTTGCCTTCAGGTTAGCTCGTTCGCTACGCTAACTCGCCTCCAGGTTGAAGTTCATTCGCTACGCTCACTCACCTTTTGGTTGCAAATTAGCTGTTGTCATAAATGTAAAAGAAATAATAGTGCTGCACCCTGTTGGTAATCCTTGTAACTTTAATGCTATTGAACATCATAGAACAGAACCAACTTGTTTAATTGAAACAGCTGTTAAGATTCATTAATTCCATTTCTCATAAGGTTAACATGGGAAACTCCAGAGCCACTGGGGCGGAGCCCTTTTAAGAATTTCGAAACGGGAAATAGTTTACGTCCGATTCGCATACCTACAGAATTTACACACCAAATTTCATAACGATCGGTGAAGTCGTTCCGGAGGAGTTTGCAGACAAACACTGTGACACGAGAATTTTATATATTAGATTCTGCACATCTACACAAAAATATCTTTCTAACAGCATCCGTAGATTTTCTCTAAGATGTACACGAGCTGAGTAAAAAGGTTTTAAAGAAACATGCTTGCCTATTAATACATAGATCTTTGCATTCAATAAAATCATTATGCAATGACTGAAAAATGCAACTCTCGTACTCTCTACTAACTCTGTTTTTTATTCCTTGTTTTCACTTTGGGCAGCAACGTCCTTAGTTTATCTTTATCGTCTGTTTCATTGCTCCCAGTCCTTCAATGCGCGTCTGCCAGCCAGTCTAAAGGTATTCAAGTTTACTACCAAAGCCTAGCAGACATGGAGCGGTTTGTTAACGTTATTCGGTTATTCGTTATTTTTAGTGAGATGTGACCAGAAAGATGCAACATTTTATGCTATTTGAATATTGACAATGCAGTAGACAAATATTGAACAGTAACGGTTAATAAACATAAACAGATTACACCACTGGCCCAATGTCTATACTAATATCTGTAACAACTGGTTTGGATGTTTTGTGACAGTTCCATTTAAATATTAATAATAATGTGTTTACTTTCGAGCCAGTGGCATAATTTTGTTTATGTTCCTTTATGACCCATACCGTTTCTGTTATAACATTTTTGTTATGTAGGTACAGTATACAATTTTGCTAGCCCGTTAATTTTTATCCACTATAGTATGGGGGCCGCCAGCTAAAATCTCCTCGTTTAGCGAATTTCCCATATAGGGAATAAGCTATTACCGTAGTACTCATGGTAAGACCTGGACCTGGAACCGATTTACTTTTTCGTTTTGAGGTCCCTAGGGGCCAAAAACACCATCCGTTCAAATTCATATATAAATGTGTGTCCGTTAGCACTATAACTCAAGCAAAAATGATCCGATTTTGATGAAATTTGGTATAAACAGGTAAACCTACATTTATTCTAACAAGTTCGCGAACCAGCATTATCGGACTATGGGAACGGGGGTTTATGGGGGGTTTTATGGAGTAAAAAATAGGTTTTTCCCATTTTTGACACAAAATCTCACAATTTCTTTCCAAACCATTTTGTAGCCTATAGTAAAAAAAAAAATAAATAAGTATATTGAAGCGTTATTGTGCGCCTAATGGTTACGGAGAAAATTCCAAAATATCTTAAATTTAAAATTCCCATGTTATTCTTATGGAGAATAAGTCAACTGTTGTAGTTTGCTTGTTTATAAACATATTTTGATCGAGTTTGGAAAATACATTAATTTCTTACTAAACTATTTACATTTTACAACAAAAAACACTTTTTTACCCTAGCTGTTGCAGCAAACCTAAGTACTTGTTAAACTAATTCTATTTAAATAGGGAATAAATGTGATATTTTTTAGGAGGCATTTTAGTGTAAATCCAATAAGGCAGATGGAAATTCGCTTAGTCTGCAGGTTTGCTGCGGCGGGGGCATTTTACAAATTACCATATGGCAACCCTAGAAAACATTGACTTAGGCTGCCTAGCTAGTTGATGGTTTTGTTTAATAAATGTGTGTGTTCACTGTCCAGTACCTTGGTGCAGACTCTAGAGAGGTGCAAACGCAAGTCACAAGCAAGACTAAGAAGACTGGACACTCAGATGTTGAACATGGTCGAGCAACACGCTGCTCAGGTAAAACAACAACCGAATACAGTACACTCCTGATTAACCAAGGTTGTTGGAACCGAGACTACCTCGGTTACCAAGAAGCTTGAATGACACGGAGGTCACATACATTTTGAGATTAGCGTTACGGTACCTTATTATAAAGTCAAATACTTGTAAAAAATATTTTAAACAACACACAGCGAATGAAAATTGATGATACTGTAAATTTGATCCTACCTTTTTTGCAAAATAACATAAAATTGTTAAAGAAAAAAAGAACACAACAAACATTTTCAACACTTTAAATTGTCTTGAAAAACGTTAAACATAGTATTATTAGAATTATGATAAACCAATACACTAAATGATTTCAAGCAAATCACTAAGTAGTCCAGCAGCTGGCTATACTTTATATACATTTTGGACATGTAGAAAACTCTCTCTTCCTTAGCTGAAAATGCTGTCAGTGACAGTGAAATATATTAATGTTTTGTGTATATAGTTGTAAAGTTTTGTGTTTCCTGTGCCAGTTTGGACCCTTTCCCATTTAGGTAAGTCTAATTTTCAGGTAATTTTCATCTAAAAAAAATTCCTAAAAACCTAGGCCCTTGTGCTCTATGCTACACCCTTAAACAAAATGTAGTTTTTTTATTTTTTGAACCAGAAAGATCCACCTTTATTTAGTCCTGCAGCTGGCTATACTTTAGTGTGCAAACTTGCGTATTCTCAAAAAACTTGCATAACCTTTTAGTATAATGTCTAGGGAGTTTAAAAAACCTGGGTGTTTACCTCCTAGCCACCACGTTTTCCGGCTATGACGTCATCAATTTGTGGGCAATGGATTTCTTTTAAGTATATATTTCGCAAACTATTTGTTGCATCGGGATGCAATTTTTTTGTTTGAAAGATAATTTTACGTGCTATCTTTCTTACATTTACACATTTGTTGTATGTTAAGTAATTTTTTGTTATTTTGCAAGAACCCGTATTTTTTAATATTTTTGTGTTATTTTTGTTTCTAACGTTTTACTGGAAATAATGTTTTTACAGTCAATTTTTGTTCATGTACTAACTGCTAACAGTGTTTTGTAAATTCATTGCTGGTGTTTCTTTCATAATTTTTTAGATACGGCAACTTTCTGCATGACTGCCAAATGTGGTCAATCTAATCACAAATTAAATTTTTTTTATTTGATAAATTTGAAGTTTGTGATTGAACTTTTGACTCATTTTATATAAATTATGAATAAATCTGCCACGTTTTTAAAATATGCATACTAAAGTTTAATATTGTAGTAAAAATCCAATCAGGTAAATAGAATTTAGCTTAATCTGCAGGTTTGCTGCGGCGGGGGTAGTCTATTTCAATTTGGTGTTATGGTTGGTAGTTTGAATTTATACTAGGCTAACAAAAATCCACTTATTTTTATGGCAAATCAAATCAAAAATTCTTTATTTATTTCATGCACATAGGTACATATAAATAGTGTCAAAAAATTATATTAAAAATACATCAGTCTTTGAACCTTATGTAAAACTATTTTGGTTGGTTTACTATTGTTGTACAAATCACCTTTCAGGTGAGGACTCTTAAACAAAGAATAGCCTCGCTGGAGGAAACGCTGGATCACCAGAGCCGACAGTCGCACAGCTCTAAGGCCAGTGAGACTTCTCTGTGATCAGTTGGCCTCTAGCAACTGGTTGGGTGTCTTATAGCTTCAAGTTACCAACATGTACAGTAATATATCTTCAACAATGTTAGTCAATATATGAAACATAGTTTGATAAAATAGTATCTTTAATCACTAGGGACTATGTGACTCTTTAACAACCAAGGTGGAATCGAGGTCGGAAAATGTGCGAAGGTTGAAAATTCATTTTGGCTCATCTGATGACAATCTATATTTTACGTTATAATGTACTATGGTTTGGCTAACTAATTTAAAATCATTAATTTTTTACATTGTTTACTTCTAAAAATTAGCCCCCACAGTTGTATTTCCCCTTTGTTATGGTATTATGCAAAAAGCTGGGGTAAAAATTGGTTTTTCCCATTTTTGATCCTAAAAACACAAAATTTCACAATTTCATTCCAAACCATTTTGTAGAGCTTAAAAAAAGAAATAATGTTGTTTATTGAAGTGTTGTTGTATGCGTAACGGTTACAGATATAATTCAAAAAATTGTAAATTTTAAAATTACAACTTTATTCTTATGGAGAATAAATAAACTTTTGTAGTTTGCTTGTTTATGTTTAGATTTTAATCCAATTAGGCAATTTTGTTTATTTCATACTAAGCTATCAACATTTAGACCCGGGACCAATTTACTTTTTCGTTTTGAGGTCCCCAGAGGCCAAAAACACCATCCGTTCAAATTCATATATATATATATTTATATATGTGTCCATTAGCGCGATAACTCGAGCAAAGTTGATCCGATTTTGATGAAATTTGGTACAAACGTGTAAACCTACATTTATTCGAACGAGTTCGCGAACCAGCATAATCGGACCATGGGATCAGGGGTTTATGGGGGGTTTTATGGGGTAAAAATGGGTTTTTCTCATTTTTGACCCTAAAAACTTTAAATTTCTAAATTTCTCTTTAGACCATTTTGAAGAGCTTAAAAAAACAAATACTTTAGTATATTGAAGTTTTTTTGAATGTTCATTGACTACGGAGAAAATTAAAAAAATTGTAATTTTAAAATTCCCACGTTATTCGTATGGAGAATAAATAAACTGTTCTAGTTTGCTTGTTTATGGATATATTTTAATCAAATTTGGCTTATTTCATACTAAGCTATCAATATTTCAATTGAAAAAACACACCTCAACATCTTCCCCGTAGCAGCAAACCTAACTACTCACTAAAATTAATGTTATTTAAATAGGAAATAAATCTGAAAATTTATAGGGAATATTTTAGTAGAAATCAAGCCGGGTAAATGGAAATTCGCTTAGTATGCAGGTTTGCTGCGACGGGGGTATTTCTTTTTTTCTGCAGTCTGACAAAAGTACAATTCCATCTGCAAACATGACAGTGAAAAGTCTACTAGTTTCTGTAATCAATGAAAAATTCAATTGTTTATTGTGTGCTGAACCTAGTTTAGTGCTTTTTAAAGAGGTTAATAAATTGGTGATGAATGTTAACACTTCAGTATGCAGCTGTTTCCTGCGTCCTTGTAGAGGAAATATTTTTTTTCCAAAATCATCTAAGCAAACATTCAACCTGGCAAGTTAAAAACTCTCACAAAAAAGCAAATAATCTAATCTTACCTTATTACACATGATGAAAAACTTTTGAGTGAATTTTTTACCAGTATAACATAGGTGAGGATTAAGCATAGTTCAAACATTTATTTCAACCTAATAATAAGTTTGCCTGCCTGGTGAATGTCAAAGAGTATAAAGTAATATTCTGGTTGATAAAAGACATAAAGACCGAAAAATATCTATTTGTTTGGCAGCACACTCTGGATATAGGGTGACTGAAAAGTAACTTGCACCCCCCCCCCCCTAACTTTATAACTATTGAGATATTTGAAATCAGTTTGTGACAACCTTACTAGATATGAGGGGCTACAATAATAATGGTTAGTTTTTAAAATTGTACCTTTAGGGTTAGTGGGGGTAGGGGATAGCTCAAAATTTTGAAATGGGAAATATAGTCGACTTTCATGTAATTTGACAGAAATAATTTACATAAAGAAAATAAAAATCGGACCTATAATAACAAAATTGCGCTCAAAATTATTCACCCTAAAACAGACAGGTGTTAATGATAACAGTAATAATTATGCGGAGTTGAGAATTTTCCAGGCACTGTTTACTAACCATGTAGATGTTATTAGCAATTATCTGAACTAGAAAAATGCTGCCTTAATACAAATTGAAAGTTAATAAAACAAAAATATTTTTTTTACTACCGCGATACAATTTTGGTTTAGGCTAGTTATCAAAAGTAATTTTTTGTTGTCATTTAGTTATTAGTGGTATGATTTTTTCCTTTTTGTCAATTGTTTAGTTTTATGAAGACCTGTAAAATCATATGAAGGTTTACTATACTTTCTTTTGAAAAATTTTGATCCATGGGTAAAGATTTTGTAATTACAGTAGAGCATCGAAAACTCATATGCTTCGCGAAAAAGAATTTCAAGGTGGTGGTGGGTCGCTAAACCAAAAAGTTTGGAAACCGCTGCACCAGTCCATCCGTTTATTTAATAAATTGCTAATAATATTTTAAGTGGACTCTCCTTTGGTTATCATCATATGTCTGTTACTAACTGATACATTTAAATTTTGAACACATACAGCATTGTTGTATACTTACCTAACAATAACCAAACTTAATCAAATTTTGACTCAGCCATTTTGTAATATTATGTGCTCTTCAAGTGTTTAAATAAATGTATGCCATTAGCTACCAATCTTCCTCATTAAAAGACCCAAAATAGGCACCTAGTTGTAGTAATAATATTAATAAGTTAAATTATTATTTCTGCTGTACACAGCGTTTGTTGTGGGACTGACCAAAAACATCAGGTGTTGAATTGAATTAGTACATCAGTTACTATTTTTGTTAAACATGTTAAATTCAATTAATTATTTTGGTTATTAGTTCAATTGTGTGCAATATTACACCATTTGCTAAGTAAAGCCTTCATACTAATTAATATTAATATTAGTGATGGTCAAAACCAAAAATTGTGAATTTTAAAACCGAAACTTAAACTTTAAAAATTCGAATCCCGAATCTCGAATCCCAAAACCTAACCGCAAAACTTTTTTTACTTATATTTGACAAAGGTCAAAGTTTAAAAAAATACAGGTAATCAAACGTTAAGTATGCAATCAAAAATGAAAGAGATTGACTCCTGACCCTGACATAATAACATAAAAATGTGATTGATAAACTTAAAACCCAAAACAACATAATTTAATATATTTTAATCAAATTTGGCTTATTTCATACTAAGCTATCAATATTTCAATTGAAAAAACACACCTCAACATCTTCACCAACCCATTTATATGTTGATTCCCATATATGTTAATTTTTAATAAACAACCATCCTGACACCAACATAAACATGAATATTACATTAATTAGAACATTTCTTGGCAATATTTCTTTGTATTCAATAACTATTGTTATGAAACTGAATTGTATGTCGTTCCAGTTGTATTTAATATGTCTTTTGAGTCCAGAATACAATTTACTTTTTTCATTACTCTTAATGCTGATCTGTTTGCTCTATTGCTACCAGCTTGTAAGAAAACAGTGTTAAAAACAATAATAATGACGCAAAAAAATCTGCAGTCTAAAAAAAAACTGCTAAAATCTTTAATTTCAAAACTTTTGAATCTCGAAACTCAATGATCAAATCTCGAAACCGAAACTTTTTTTAAGGTTTTGAGATTTGAGATTCGGTTTAGACACATCACTAATTAATAATTAATTTACTCTATTGTTTTGTAAATAGTAACATTTGTAAGTAGTTTAAAATTATGTTTATTACTCCATATTAAAAAATTATTTTTCAATTTATTTGTGGTTTTATTTTTTCATACTATATTAAGTTAAATATTTTTTTTTAGATTCTTCTTTTGTTATTAATCAAATTGCTGTGGTAATACTAAAAACTCAGTTTTTCAAAGCTGCAAATAATGCGGGGAGGCAGTAAGGTAGGCTAAATATATTATTTTTTTGCATTTCTTTTTGTATTATTTCTCCAAATTATAGAGCTTTTCTTCCAGGACAGAATGATATATAACACTTTGGTGCTAAAAATATTTTACCCGTGTAAAAAAAATCTGGAACAAATGCATAGGCGAGGCCTGACTTCTTTTGAAATTAGGTTTTTTTTAAATATTTGTATATTTTTTGATTAAATATGCAAGTTACCTTGGTGATGGGGACAGCAATAGCTTTGAAAGAAAAAAAGAAAACTGGAAAAAGCTATTGGAGGAAAATATGGGGCTGAAATGTTTAAGGTAGGCAAAATAACGCATATCACATATTTTCTATACCCCTAGGCCTAAGGCCTAAGTTATATGACGTTAACCGCAAATCGTTATTTTTGTCATGTTATGTACCTTTTCTCAGGAACTACTAGGGATAGGGAGTTAAAATTTTTACACAACATGTATGTTATAGTGTTAAACACACTGAGTTTGTTTTAGGGCCTAATTCCAACCTACTTGGTAAAAATATATATATATATCACAAGAAATTTGAAAAATGTTTAGTACCTCCAAAAAAAGTTTTTATCTAAGCTATTTATTAGTTTAAAATCCTGAAAAAACCTCAGGACATGTATCAAAGGTATACAAAGAACTGACAAAAATTTCAGAGAGATAGGCCATATAGTATTTCCAAAAAGGTACCTTACGTTAGCATTACAGAGCTAGGGATTCCGCCTCCCCTAAGCCAAGTTAAGCAGTACGTGCATTGGTTAACAAAGTATTTGAGAGGGCTTTTTTTTATTGATTTAATTTGTTCAAAACTTCAAAGTAGAGTATTTTACTTAACCACAAGATTTTTGTAAGTATGTAAATAAATCTACCTTACCTAATATAATATATTAATGGGTCAAGTCTCTTCTCTACAAAACTTAAAATAAGACCAAGGGTAAAAACACACATACAGCAATTGAGGGCGGAGTGGGCGGTATGATCCAGAGCGAGCTTAAGTGGAGCAACTGATACACATACAGCGACTAGCGAGAGCGATCAGTTCCAAGATGTCACATAGTAAGTTGGCACGTAATTTGCAGAAGCGAAAACAATTGGTTGAAAACATTCATTTTGCGTGCTTCAAACCGGTCAAGAGTGGGTGCATAAAGTGAATGAAGGAAGGGAGGTGAGTGGCAAATATCACCATTTGTTTCCAGTTCTTAGAAGCATGAATCACGTGACGATTCGTGCAATACATGAGTATGTTAGACTGCTGTAACTTAACCTCCTTGAATTGAATCGCTCGATAAACTATCGAAATTAGTATATATCTATATACCAGGTTACTGGTTATTTAAAACCTATTCAGCCCCACCCGACAAGCCAGTATTTGAGACAAGCTTAATTTCATATTACACTTAAATTACCTTAATTATACTGAATTGAATCCAAATTATTTATCAAAAGTTGGGACCTGTTACAATAATCTAATACATAATGTATATATGACAATGACCTTCGCACAGTGACTCGAGCAGAGTGACTCAAGATTAAGTAGTTGCCCTCTCTGTTCCCAAACACTTGAAAAAACAAACAAGATTGTTCAAAAGTCAACCGCTTCGCTACGCTACACTCCAAAAGCTGTTTGTGTGTGCGTTACTACTTGAATGTATGGGTTTGATTTTGTCGCTCTAAATCGCACCGCACCGCTATCAATCACTGTATGTGTGTTTTTAGCCTAAATCAGGGCTTTAGAAAAAGTTTGTGTTAAGAATACTATAGCTTCCAAGTATACTATACTAATTTTGTGTGTCCGTATAGGTACTACTATTAATTATTAGGATATCAAAATGATTGTAAAATACACTTTACTAACACTAATTGGGCTTTAAAAGACTGAACATATTAGGTATTGTGTGTAAATAAAATATAAATGTAAAAATAAAATGTACTCTTTAATTAATTAAACCTTGATATTAGTTTGAGATCTAAAAAATCTTTACTTGTTTAGCCATTGATACAACTTGAGATTACATCCCCTATATTGAAATCAAGGCCACACTAAAAAAACAGGCCGTAATGCTCGTCAAGCATGACGTCACGATAGAAGACGGCAATGACGTAATTAAGGTTATATTTTTGTTTTCGATGAAAAGATTAAAACAAGCAGCTGATCACAAACGGCAAACATTACGTCATTGCCGTCTTCTATCGTGACGTCATGCTAGACGAGCATTACGGCCTGTTTTTTTTAGTGTGGCCTTGATTGAAATGGTCACCAGTTTTTAACACGTTTACTACCGCAATAGTACAAAATTTGTCTTTCATATAGACCAGTGACGCACATATGCGACGGCCAGTTTCTACCCATAGACTGCCGTCGCATAGACTGACGACGCATATTTGCGTCGGTGTTCCAATGTTATCAAAATGCTTATATCTTTGTATAACGGTCTATTTGAATGCACTGAATTCTCTGCAGTGGTCTACAGGGATGTCTGACGCACAACTGTGTCACTTGGTCTGTGGATGGATATGATGATTGGTGACGTCATATGATAGTTGGAAAAACTGGTCTTTACTTTTCTGCATCACTGTATGTATGTATGTATGCAGTACGTATGCTGCATTATCCTATGTTGCTTTTATATTTGTTCCGTTATAAACTGTTCTTGAATAATCAGTTTTTTTTTACTTACTTTCACCTCAAAACACTAACAAAAATGAACTGTCACATATATACAACATTTGAGCTATTTCAAGAAAAATATGATAATTTTCAATTTTCACTATTTGTCGCAAATATGTGACATTACAAGAGGTTATCAAAAATATAAAAAAAAAACAAGAATATATTATTTACAAATACGATTGCAGTGTATTATAAAGTAAATTATCACTGTTTAACAGGTTTTCGCCCGTGGTCTGCGTGTACTGTTAACCAAGTGACAGCCGGTCTATGTGTTACGATTAAATTGTATACCTCGGTCCAAGTGCAATGATCGCGGCGTCGCATCGAACAAGTTAAATCAAAATTGTTGCAGTTAATGTGAGCCACCGACAGATTGTTCTGATGTAAATTTTTTGTCAAATACATAAACTTTTTTTACAAGTCAAACTGATAGATCAGCTGGTCCATATAGATGGGATCTGGGATGTCTACTTCAGTACCGGTATACAATAGTTAATGGTATTGACTGATATCGGAGTGAAGCACTGCCTTACTCCTGGGTAAAATCATATCTTTGTTTTTTATTACAAACCATATTTTTTTAGTCTGTATTGTATTGTAGTATCTTCTTCTATATATTTATTCCGTAAGCGAATCGGTCCTCACCAAACATCTCGAGCTAGGAAAAAGGTAGCATGGCTGTTGAGGATTCATTTTAAAGCTTAAGGTCCAAGGACGGTGGGGAGAATATCAGAAGTGTCAAAAATTACCTCTGCTGTGCCCCACAGGCCAACAAAGATCCAGTTATTTTCTAATGGAAGTACTGATACAGTGGTATAATCTATATATTTAATACACAGTTGTAACACTGTTTTCTCAGTAATTACTGGACCGATCTACAAGATTTATGTCTCAAATTAAAGGGGATAGTGTTTAGATTTGCCGAACTTCCTTAGAATTTACGTTTTTTCTAAGGGCTACGACCTACAGCCCTTTAAAGGTCGAGTCAATACAATTCTTATTGAAGAATATAATAAACAGTTTCTAAATTATTCGTCAGCTGTTTAATGTTTGTCAGACATTGTTATTATTTTTATAACATCACTTTCAGTATGCAATTATTAAACTTGGAGTTTCTGTTTATAAACACATGATTTTGATCAAGGAAAGTGTATTTGTTAACTTATTTTTGAAATGTTTTAGTTTTCCTGCAAAGTGATCTGAAGGAAAGTGGTAATTGAGTTTAAGTTTGAGTATGGAATGTGAAATAATACCCATAGTAGGGAACGGAAACTTATTGTTTTGATCAATATAATTTATTCTCTACGGCCACCAGAATAATCATGGGAAAATCCGCTTGCAAGTTGTACATATAATTGCTAATGAGTGGGAAACATACAAACATTTTATAGTAGGTGATGAATCTTACTCAAGATCAGTGTTAAACGTTCAGTGGTACCAAACTTTACCTTCTCAAGATGGCGAGTACGCTGGGATACGTGGAACTACAATACATCAGCGATTTTTTTTTTCAAATACACAGGGAAGTTGCTTGAGAAACTGTGACTTACCATTCGGTTCTGGCGAAGAAGTATGTGACTTGATGTTTAATGGCAATGTTGACTCGGGTCATTATAGCGTTATAAAACTTTATCGTTAACCCCAGGGTGTGAAAAGTACAAAAAGAAAAAGAAAAGGTAATCATTAACCGGGCGTAAAGAGACATACCGAACGAAAAAAAATGTAGAGAACCATCGAACTAAAAAGGTAAAGAGCGGTGTTGGTGTTAAATGTGCTCTGGAAGTCCCTACAAAAAATACCAGCTCTTTTGAATTGGGGTCCTTAGATTGGATTTGTCACTACTTCAAATCTATGAATTTCAAGTCAGAACAGACTAACTGGGACACAAAAATGTTTTAGTTTTCCTGCAAAGTGATCTGAAGGAAAGTGGTAATTGAGTTTAAGTTTGAGTATGGAATGTGAAATAATACCCATAGTAGGGGACGGAAACTTATTGTTTTAATCAATATCATTTATTCTCTATAGCCACCAGAACAATCATAGGGAAATCCGCTTGCAAGTTGTACAGATAATTAATTGCTAATGATTGGTAAACATACAAACATTTTATTGTAAGTGATTAATCTTACTCAAGATAGGTGTTCAACGTCCAAATTTTACCTTCTCGAGATGGCGAGTACGCTGGGATATTTGGAACTACAATTTATCAGTGAACTATACCCTAACTATATATTTCGAGCAGGCCTACACAGAAAAGTTGCTTGAGAAACTGTGACTTACGATATCGGTTCTGGCGAAGAAGTATCTGACTTGATGTTTAATGGCAATGTTGACTCGGGGTCATTATAGCGTTTATCATTAACCCCAGGATGTGAAAAGTACAAAAAGAAAAAGAAAAGGTAATCATTAACCGGGCGTAAAGAGACATACAGAACGAAAAAAAAACATCTAGAGAACCATCAAACTAAAAAGGTAAAGAGCAGTGATGGTGCTAAATGTGCTCTGGAAGTCCCTTCTAAAAAATACCATTTTTTTTTTAATTGGGGTCGTTAGATTGGATTTGTCAGTACTGCAAATCTATGAATTTTGAGTCAGAACAGACTAACTGGGACACAAATATTTTTCCTTGTGTTGTCACAAGGGGAAGGTAAAATGAACTCCTTATCAACATTTTGAGTTTATGGAAAATCTTATCAACAGCGGCTATAAAAATAGTATTAAGGGTCAAAAGAGACAAAAAACTATTTGAGTAAAATATAATAGGTACAAATCTGCATTTGAAATGGCCAGTTCCAAGTCTCACTTGAATCAACATCTTTCTGGTAGTGGTAGTCTAGATAGTTTTAAAATCCACGACTCCTTTTCCATCAAATTGGACCGTTAATACCCTCTAACATTGAACATAGTATGCCCAACTTTATATATACGACGTAAACACAGCTTTTACTCACAGTATGGGTCAAAGATTCGTGAAATGCGACCAACTGCTGATGCGTGATTTACATGTAGGCTAAGTGACTATCTTTATTCCATACAACAAATGTAATGGAAAAAAAAACTACGAATATAGGAATATACTTGAGCAAATTATCTAAATAGCATAAATAGCTGCTTATTAGGTAAAACATTCATTTGGTTAAAATCATATATTGGTTTGATTAACATAAAATAGTTTATACAGGCAAACTATCAGTTCTATTTCATGTAAAAAATTAAACAACAACTAAATAAAATACAAAGATAAACAGTATTTGTTAATTATTATTTCTTTTATTGCTGACAATATTCCTGTGGCGGAGCACGGGCGGTTAACTAGTAGCAGTTAAATAAGCAGTTTTAAATATACCAGCTGATGGAAACATTGCGTATTGTTTGTTTGTTGATTTTAGTTTTCTGTTTTTAGGTTGGAATAGTAATGCAGTGTTGAAATGTATCGTGTTAGGGCAAAACCGTGACTACGAAGGAGAGTATTTAGGAATGGTGCACAGCATAGGGAATGGTTAAGGGTCCGCCGGACCCCGAGTCGGAAATCTCAGCACGATGTAGCTAACGGCTGCTTGGAGCGCTGCTCAACGGAGGGGAGCGGGAGAGGGGCCGAGTGAGTGGGAGAGGGGATGAGAAAGCGGCGCGGCGCCCAGCAGGAGAGGAACCGCTTACCCACGCGCACTGGCATACTCACTGTTTTATCATTGCCACTAGTGCAACTTCCACTCCACAAAACACCAAAACACCGCGAGCCAAGGCGCGGTCTAATGAGCGCCGGGAATGCTTCAAAACTCACCACTCGTGCTTATCCATATACTAAATAAATATTCAAAGTTGGCTACAGTACTGGGTTTTGTCAGTAAATGCATTTTGGCTGCAAACAGATTACTGTACCATAAGTAAACCCAGTTATGGTAGGTACAATATTTTGAAATATAAAAACAACAGTTGAAATAGAAAATTTTTATTTCAATTATTTATAATTTACCTTCATTTACCAATTATTAAATAATTACAATAATTTATCAGTTTTATTCGTCGACAAAACTTTTCAAAACCTATCCCTTATTGGGAGTCCCCGAGGGTGTCTTGGGTCGATGAGCTCTGGCAATACACATTTGAAATAAAAATTAGTCAGGGGTTTTTCCATTTTGTTTTCCCAAAACTGGTCGTCCCTCACGATTTTCTCTATGGACATGCCTTTGTTAGTCCACACCAAAAACCAACAATTTTTTTGTTGTGTTATGTGGAGCTGTCCCTGGATTTGGTAGTAGTAGCAATGGCTCCGTTTTAATTTTAGATTCCTTTCTTCATCCAGCACACAAAACTTTATTTTCTTTTCAACAACTGCATCAGCTGGCGTCAGGTCTTTAGCTGATGCAGGACATTTGACCTGTAAAACAAAATACAGATGATGTAACAAAATTCTGGTACAGTATTGCAAATCACACCCAAAATTTGATTTAGTTAAATGAAATACACGACTCAATTATTAGTATCTTAAAGCAGGCCTACCACAACAATGAATTGTAAATTGTTATAGTTATAAATTTCAAACGTACGATGCTGTTGGCAAAATTACTTTAGTTCACACATGTTTGCTTTGTTGACTAATGTATTTATAACCTTTTAGAATAAATATGTTATCTGGAATGATAAATATTACAACAGTTTAGTATTTCTTCTCTTTTGGAAACGTAAATGCACAAGGTAATGCGTTACAAATTTAATGTTTTTAGGCAATTGAGTATAAATAATAAATATACAAGTTTACCCACCTCTACTAAACCCAAGCCCTCGATTACACCATCGGGTGAAGCGGCAAGAAATGGCTGCATCCTGTCAACAAATAGGGAAAAAGTTAAGGTAACTGTTGGCAGCCATTATATGGTTCCACAAACCGTATGTCTTCAATTCTCCTACTACATTTAATTCTTCCACCTTCTCAAGAATCAGTTCCTTTAGTTCTGCGATTGCATGCTTTTCATTTTCCAAGCCGTATCTGAAGCACAACAATTAATTTATTCCCAAAATTGGGTTTTCTAATTTCATTAGTTTTCATTTTTAGTGGGAATTCAGGTTTATTATCATCAAAAATCTAACACTAATTGCTTGTACCCACGTCATTGATGACAATATAATAATGCATTTATATTTAATAGTATGTTCTTGTTAGTACAAATTACCCATTTTAAAGTTAATATAAAATATTGTTTTTAAATTGTAATGTTGTAGGGGAGGCGAAACTTTTAGTTTGTATAGCAATTTTTTCTTAAATCCCATAGATAACCTTTAGATTAGAATAGTGCACCTGTTGCTCGAATCCGAGCAATTGTAAAGTATGGACCGCGTCTCGCTGTACCTAGTGTAGGAGTAGTGTATCTTATTAATCACCTTCACGTATTATATACTGTATGTATATGCATAAGGATTAACATTGGTTTATATCTGATTTAACTTACCTTGTTGCGGAATTTCCTGAAAATTGCTTGTACAATAGTTGCTCAACCAACTTCTGACAGGACGTTGTTGAGCGCATTTTACAAATCCTTCCAAAATTTGATGCAGTGATCCTTTTTTTTCTCTCTTTTACCCATAAATCACACAGGCTTTGACCTAGAAAATACAAATTGCCTACCAATTAAGATACCAACCCCTGTAAGGGTTATTTTTAGGCAAATGTGAATGAGAGAAAAAATTATTTATTATTATTAATATTGATACCTCTCGAATTTCTCTCTAGCTGTGATCTCTTTTCTTCATTCATCTCAAGAGAATGCAAAAGCTCATTTTTCCTAGTCTGAAACTGGTCGTCATCAAGGTCAGGAGTGGTCTCAGTGTCTCCATAATCCGCGTCGGGGAAAAGGCAAGTGTTTCTCTTTGACTTACCAACCAAATTTTTTTTGGGTTTCAATCTCTTCTTTTGTTTTCGTGAACTAATTAACTTTGAATATTTCCCTGGACTGACACCAAATGTCATCTTTTTGTAAAGTTTGCGAAGTGCTTCTTCCTTCATATTCATTGAGAGTGCTGACATCTCACTTCTGGTGTTGTAAGAGTTTCTTTGTGACATGTTAACTCTTTTTCCTGCCACAAATTTGCAAACTAGAGCATTGTAACACTCGGCTAGATTGGTAGTTACGCATTGAAGAAGAGAGAATGAAAAAAAGTTAAGGTAACTGTTGGCAGCCATTATATGGTTCCACAAACCGTATGTCTTCAATTCTCCTACTACATTTAATTCTCTCTCTTTGGGGCCAGAGCAAAAGTAGGTTTTGCAATTAGAATGGTCCCCAAATACATGCCGAGGGCCGTTTGCTATGTCCTCCTTCAGTTGTCTGATTCTCTCATGCACTGGTATGTCTTCCTTAGATTTTGCATGTTTAACTGCACCAGTTACTGCATATCTGGAAGTTGAAATATTTATCATTGGTTAAAGTGAGTTTATTAATACCGTCAATTGAATTGGCGTGTTAAGAAAAGATTGTTAATATTATTGTAATAAATATTATGGGTAGCCTTTTGACAACTTAGGGATTACGTCAATTAGAAGAAGTCATTATTTCTCAGCCACAGACACAACATTCCAAAAATATGAATCACTGCTTATGTTTCACCCGTTTTTACATGACAATAGTTATTGAGTATATAGTTGCTCCTTGGATGTTTGTGTCAGGCTAAGTATAGTAAGTAAGCTGTTTAAACTTATTACTCACAAGTTTGTATTTATAAAGAACACACACATACCTCAGCCTTAGGAGATTTGTTTTCACTTTGTTCCTCAGTTCTCCAGGAACAGGTCCAACTTCGTTACGTTTTTGGTCCCCAACCTCTTGCAATTTCTTTATGTAATTTCTCAACAAATGGTTAGTGCATTCTATTTTGGTAATCGTTGTTGAAGGCCCATAAGGTTGAGTTTCAACTAACTTTGTCATGACACTGCTGTCGCCATCTCCTAAAGAAATTTTAGTATTAATAAAGAAATATTCCTGCCTAAAGTTAATAGTTTATAATATCCAAGTTTTGAATGTGATAGTTTTAAGTATCCAGTGTTTACAGGTAAATTATATTGTTGTTAAAAAGTGTCAGATCAGGTTTTAATCAATGCACTTACCGATCACGTTCACGTACTTCAGATTGTACATTTCTTTGCTTTTTTAAAGCCTTCCACAATGATGTCGCTTTCCATGGCAGTAGACGTCTTTGACCAATTTTTATAGCACACATGCTCAGGTGGAGTCAATTGTTTGCCTTTAGCTCTAGCACATATGCAACAATATGAGTTTCTAACTCCAATGTACAGTATTTTTTTGGTTTTCATGCCAATGATACAACCCTAAAACAAAACAAAAATAGTATTAAAAGTCAAACACAAACTTTCGTCACATGAAAGCATAATTTAAGCTTGGATATTTTATTGCATCATGTTTACAGTATATACAAACATATCATGAGATGGAGTACGGCACAGTATTTTGCTTGAAAAGCTGGTGGGTAACATTCGTCCAAAAAAGATGCACGAGATATGAACAAATGTTTATATATGAAAAAAACTAGAAATGTGTAGAAAACAATGTAATAACAATAGGACACAGCTTACCACGCCTGATAAAGCATTGTAGTTGGTCTTGTAGGAACGCTTACACCAAGCCCCATCAATAATGACCGTTATCTCTGGTACTCCTTCGCTGTCGACACAGCCAGCAGCTTCAGCTAACTCTGCCTCTTCACGTGCTGCTTCCTCCAAGCTCTCCCAAGTACAGTCGTGGATAGCAGAATCGACAAGCTGTTGATGTCTAGCGTACGTTTTTTGTGACATGCATGGCATATCAAGACAACAACATAATTCTTCCAGTTGGGAGATCCAGTCCAAGGTTTTTTCCAGTTCGCCTTTTACATTTGACGGAAACTGAGCGACCTTTTTTTTCGAGGATGAGGCATTTCAAATAAATAACTATACAAAGGAACTTGCAGTACGAATGAACCTGTCTTTTCTAGATAATAGAACTTACAATACTATAAAAGAATATTACAAACGATATTATAGCAGAATGAGACTGTGCACGTGTGCTGGTGATGGATGCTAGTATAGCAGAAAGCCCTATCGCACGGCCTTCGTGGGCGCGTCCAATGTTGCCTGCGGGGGTGTTCCACCCCAGTCTCACAACAGCTGATCATCAACCTCCACCGCTCTAGAGTGGTGGACTACACTAGCCATCCTGAGTTGTACAGTACTGGTAGTACATAGGTAGCAAACCATCGGCCTAGTCAGTCATACTTATTGCTATACTCTATACAAAAAATTATAATGATATAAATAAAATACTTTTCATCTTATTATCAATTTAGTTTTAGTTTTGAGCGAATCGTTACCGGTACAGCATTAGAACCATTATACGTGTTGTGGTACGTTCATAGTTCATCTTAATCTACTTTCTCATACAAACTAGATTATTATCTTACAAATATTATAAATGTGAAATTTTGTGCGTTTGTTTGTTTGTTTGAAGTTCATCACGCATTACCTACTGGTCGGGTTGGTCTTAAATTTTGTATGATGAGCTCCATATGGTGATAGACCATTTTTGCTATGGTAGATGTGGTAACTATAGCATGCCGTACATTAATGGAACAAAAAAATTCTAAAACCGTGTCCTCCCCCATTGAAAACGTACACCAACCCCGTATAAAGGGCGGGTATTCTGCTAGTATCTATGTAAAAAGGATTTGTTCAATAAACTGACATGTTTATTTAACAACGGGCGGGTATTCTGCTAGTATCTGTATAAAAAAGATTCGTTCATTAAACTGAAATGTTTATTTAACAACAGTGTAGCCAAAACATCGATGAGCCCAAATAGTTGTGTGTGTTGTGGGTACAGCAGAAGTACGGTATTATATAGTCAGTGCAGAAAGCTTTCTCAGCTGAGAGCTGAGAATTGGAGGAGGGGAAGCAATATGACCGTGGAGGGGCTGTACGCGTGTAGTTCCACTCGCGGCCGCAAGGTTCGGTACGTTACGGCTTCAAATTTGCTAGTTGCAGAGGTTCACGGTAACTGACTTTGTAAGCTACCCATACATGCTAGTGAAAAACAATAAACGGTGTTTTAAAGAACAAAGAACAATCTAAGTGACCCTTGTTTCACATTTTTAAAGTAACGATTCTATAATAAGTTACAGCAGTTTAAAATTGCCATTTTTCGTCAACATTCAAAAGAATATTTTCAGGCTTCATGGTACAATAGTTAACATATTGAAACTACAATAATTTAGATAATTTTATCATCTTCAAAATGACACCCTTATTTTGATTCTACGTTAAATGTAGCCTTCGGTAACTCAGTTGCTCCAGCCCCTTGCGTTTGCACAAAACGGCAGAGGTAGGGCGGACCCTTAAGGACAAATTACAACGGAGGTGAAGGGCTGGGGGAATTGCTGGGTTGGGCCCCTAGTTCTTGTTTAAGTGAGCTGGTCACTGAGATTGCTAATGTTTATTGTCAAAGACATGATTATTCAGCCTTTCAACATGGCTAATAATTCATGTAACCATGTATTAAAGAAAGTTACTTTTTGTGTGTTTTTTTACTAGGCCCTTGCTCAGGATTGTTATTCTAACACTTCACTCTAGGCCTAGAGGTTGCGACATTATCACTTGGATAAAATCCATTGGTGATTGGAAGGATTTAGACCCGGATCCTCAAGGACCAAAGTCCTGTGCAGAACAAACAAATCAATAATAATATTGAGGGATATTTTTAACTCCCTCTCTACTAATGTTATGTAATGTAATGTTACTAATGTTAAAGTAATGTATGTACTAATGTTTTTTACTAATGTGTTGATCTGGTACTTGTATTTATTAATTCTCAACTCATTTACCTCTATCTCAGAATATGATTTCCATTAGTTGTATTGCCAATATTTTGCTAGTCTGTACAGCCCTTTACAGTGTTGGTTCACTACAGTGATTACATAGTAGTTGGCCTCAAATATATTTTCACTCTTTCAGGTATTAGAAAAAAATCATAACCAACATATCGATAATTAATTTATTTGCCTTTAAGAGTAATAACCTTAAACTACAAAAATTTGCAGAGTTTTACACTGTGTTATTACTGTGTCTTGTTTTTCCTCTACCGATCCAGTTTTTTTTCAGCTCCAGGCACTGGATGCTGTACATGTAAAATCTCATTGTTTGCAATGTAATAGGTATCAAAGTTGGCATCTATGTACCTGGCATGAATTCCTTTAGACAGACACCAGGATATTGCTTTAATAGTCTCCGGGGTTGGTTCTTTGGCTGTAAAAAGCAACAAGATTACACATTCTTAAGTCATAGATTGTTGACATAAATGTCTTGAAAAAGAAAAGTATATTCACATATGTAGTGATGGTCAAAACCAGAAATTTCGAATCTCGAAACCAAAACCGAGACTTAAAAATTCAAATCCCGATTCTCGAATCTCGAAACTTGAACGCGAAACTTTTTAGTTTCTTGGTCAAGGTTGATAAAAAATAAAAAATACAGGTAATGATAACATTTTTATTATGGCTATGAGATTATGCGATCAAAACTGAAAGAGAGTGACTCCTAATCCAGATATAGGTAATAACATGAATGTGACACATAAACAAAATAAAATTTTTTTTTAACAACTAACATTAAAATAAATGAAACTCTTGACATTGAAATAAACATAAACATTACATTAATTAGAACATTTAGTGATCAATATTTCTTTGTTTTTAATAAATATCGATATGAAACTGAATTCTAAGCTGTTCCAGTATTTAAGATGCCTTTTGCAGTTCAGAATACAATTTACTTGTTTCATTAGTGTTAATGGAGATGTGTTTGCTCAATTGCTACTAGCTTGTGTGTAAACAATGTTAATAATAATGACACAAAAATGTCATGATTTTCTAAAATATAAGTGCCAAAACTTCCTATTTCGAAACTTTTGAATGTCGAAACCAAAACTTTTCCAAAGTTTTGATGGTTTTGAGATTTGGTTTTGACACATCACTATTCACATGTATACTGCACGAGATTAAAAATAGTATACAAGAAGGTGAACAGAATCTTCTGTATGTTTAATTCCGTAAGCAAATCAGTCCCCACGAAATATTTAGAGTTAGGAAAAAGCTAGCATGGCTGTTGAGGATTCATTTTAAAGCTTAATGTCTTTAAGCTTTGGCGGTGGGAAAAGTATCAGAAGTGTCAAAAATTACCCCTGCTGTGCCCCACATGCCGTCAAAGATCCAGTTATTTTCTAATGGAAGACTGCTATGCTACAGTGTTTTTATAAACTGTTAAAAATATACCAGCTGATGTAAACATTGTGTATTTGTTTGTTTATTGATTTTAGTGTTCTGTTTTTAGGTTGGATTGGAATGGTTATGCAATGTCGAAATGTATCGTTTTAGGGGAAAACCGCAACCACAAAGGAAAGTATTTAGAAATGGTGCACAGAATAGGGAATGGTTAAGGACAGGGCGGAAAAATAATATTGCTGGGGGAGATTTGAACTAGATACTGCCTGTTGTTCCAAGCAAAACAAGTTTCAAATATTATAACATATAATGCATAGTATATAGTAAATATGGAACGATACAATAATTGTATCTTTTGTATGGTATCACACCAAACAATGAAAATATGGGTTAAATCAACATATTCAAACAAAACTTGATAAAATCCGCTTTAAACGACATATATAAATACAATACAATACAATACAATATTCTTTATTGTTAATTTGTTAAGAATTACAATAGTGTCAATACAATAGTGAATTGTACATGTTAATTTCAATAGTTTTCATAAAATTCCTTTATTGAGTAGAAGGATCTTGCGATTAGCCACTTCTTCAACTCCTGGTGTAGCTTGTTGCCAGTCAGGTCTCTCAGGTAGTCAGGTAGATGGTTCCTCAGCTTGCGGCCGGTGTAGGAAGGTTTTTTCTCCCAAAGAGTTGTTCGGTAAACTGGTAGTGCAAATTTGGAGCCATGGCGGGTGTTGTAGTGGTGGTATTGGTTTCTTGGGGGGTTTATTTCATTCACATACTTTATGGTTTCAAGTAAGTAGAGAGACACCACTGTGAGGATTCCTAGGTTTGCGAATGCTAATCTGCAAGTCTGTGGTGGGACAAGGTTGGCGAGGGCTCTTATGGCTTTCTTTTGAAGGACAAGAATTCGATTCATATTTTTTGTTGAAGTTCCTCCCCACACTGTCAAGCCATATCTAAGATGCGACTCTACCAGTGCAAAGTAAGCTGTTTTGGCCACAGAGAGTCCGCCTATGTAGTTTATTCTTCTGACGACATATATTCCAGTACTGATTTTTTTGCTTAGGTGGTTGATGTGCTCTTTCCATGTTAGTTTGTTATCAAGGATAACACCGACAAATTTTGTGTGGTTTTCTATTGTTACATCCTCTAATTGAGGGACTATGTCTTTTTTCTTACTTAAATTCAGAGTTGTAGTTTTTGTGGGGTTTATTGCTAAGTCATTGTTCTTTGAGTAGAGGATAGCTTTATTTAAGATCGATTTTGTTTGAATTAAGGTAAAGGCTTTGGGCTGTGTTGTCCTTGATCAAAATGGTTGTGTCATCTGCATACAAGATTGCAACAGCATTTTCACTCTCAATTTGTTTGGGGAAGTCATTAGTCAATAAGATAAATAGAATCGGACCTAATACAGAGCCTTGTGGAACTCCTCTCGTCAGCTTGCTTTTTGAAGATTTGAAACTTTCTGTGACTTCATTTGATGAGTTTTTCAGATCCACGACTTGTGAACGTCCCGTTAGGTAGCTTTTGAACCATTCTAGCGCAGAGTTTCTTATACCGAGTCTTTCGAGTTTCTTACATATCAGGTCGTGGCTCAGGCAGTCAAAAGCCTTACTGTAATCAAGGAAGATGGCGGAGATGTATTGTTCGTTTTCTATCTGGTCTAGGACGTACTCAATTAGTGATGTTATAGCTGAGGATGTAGATTTATTCTTCCAAAAGCCATGTTGGTTGTCAGTTAAGAGTTTGTTATGATTAAGATGTGCCATTAATCTAGCCAGAGCAATTTTTTCTATGATTTTAGAGAAACTGGAGATGAGAGAGATGGGCCTGTAGTTTTGAGCATTTTCAGTTGGTCCTTTTTTATGTTTGGGGTATATTTTACTGACTTTTATGGCGGATGGGAATTTGCCTTCTTTAAATGATTTATTTATAAGATAAACCAGAGGAGAGATGAGTTCTTGAGAGCAGTGCTTTATCATCTTAGAGGAAAACTCATCTATTCCACTTGATGTTTTGGCTTTTAGGGAGTTTATAATCGTTTTAACTTCTTTATAGGATGTTGAAGTTAGGGTGAGGTGTATTGGGCAGACTGGTTCCTCTCCATTCAGCACTGTTTCAGGGTCTACAACGATTGCTCTGTTTTGGTCAAGGGTATTTTCTGCTATATTTGAGAAGAATGTGTTGAAGTGTTCGGCAATTTCTTTTGTGTCGTTTGTGAGTTTGCCATTTATTTCTAATTCTGTAAGGGTTTTCTCTTGACATTTTCCTTTCCTTTCCTTTTTAGCGAATTTCCCTATAGGGAAGTAGCTATTACCGTAGGTCTCATGGTAAGACTTAGGCCCGGGACCGATTTACTTTTTCATTTTAATGTCCCCAGAGGCCAAAAACACCATTCGTTCAAATTTTTATATATGTATATATATATATATATATATATAGGTATATATATATATAGATTTATATATATATATATATGTGTCCGTGAACACGATAACTTGAGTAATTTTTATCCGATTTTGATGAAATTTGGTTTGAAGGTGTAAGGCAGGATAAACTTGAATGAGTTCGCGATCCAGCATGATCGGACCATGGGAACAGGGTTTTATGGGGTAAAAATTGGTTTTTCTCACTTTTTACCCTAAAAACACAAAATTTCCCAATTATTCTCTAAACCTTCTTAAAGAGCTTGAAAAAACAAACAATTCAGTACATCAAAGTGTTTTTGTACGGTTATTAGTTACGGAGAAAACTAAAAAAATGGTAAATTTAAAATTCCCATGTTATTCTTATGGAGAATATTGTAAAATGTTGTAGTTTTCTTGTTTATGGATATATTTTGATCAAACTTGGCAAATTTATTTATTTTATAGTAAGCTATCAATATTTTACTAAAAATACACTACTTTATTAGTTTCCTTGTAGCAGCAAACCTAGGTACTCGTTAAACCTAATGTTATTTAAATAGATCAATTGAAAATCAATTCGGCCAAATGGAAATTCGCTTAGACGGCAGGTTTGCTGCGGCGGGGGTATTTATAACTTGCCATAGTGCTTTTGGTTTGTTGTCAGCTTTGTTCTATGAAGCTAGCTGTTGAGGACATTTTTAGGTTTCTTAGTTTCATGTCGTATATCCTTTTTCTATTAATCATTTCTAATTTGTCTTCATTTCTGTTCGTTAACTCAAACTTTTGCAGTGCTTTCAAAAAGTTCTCTTTAAGGTATTTTGCTTCAGGATCGTAGTACTTCATATGTTTTTTGTTTGTACTAATTTTAGTTTTCTTTAATGGGCATGTATAATCCAGTGCTGTTTGAAGAATATTATGAAATTTGTTGTAGGAGGTTTCAAGATTGGGTGAAAAGTAAACATGTTCCCAGTTTTGTAGATGGAGGTGAGCCTTCAGATTGTTTAGGTTTGTGTTGTTTAGGCTTCTTTTCATTACAAATCTTTGGGAAGTGTCTTCTTGGTGTGTTTTCAGCAGGCACAGCTGCGCAGTGTGGTCAGATAGACCAGTATGCACAACTTGTCCAGTAATATACGCATATGGTATGTTTGAGCATATACAGTCTATTGAAGTGGCTGTGTCATGGGTTATTCTGGTGGCCTCTAGAGGAAATCTCCAGATGTTTTGTGTGGTTAACTCTTCTTCCAGCATGGTGTTTTTGGAATCTTGGGTGAGCCTGTCGATATTTATGTCACCGATGAGTATGAGGTTTTTCTTGTGTACTTCTTGTATTTTCTGATAAAGCTTGTATAACCTCATCGATTCTACCAACAACAACCCTTTCAAATTTTTTCAAGACTTTATGAACACGGTATAGGGTGGCTGAAAAGTAACTAGCACCCCTCTTAACTTTTCAACCATTTGAGATATTTTAAATCGGTTTGCGGCAACCTTCTTTGATATGAGGGGCTACAATAATTATGGTCAATTTTGAAAATTTTGCCCTTAGGGGTAGCGGGGGTAGCTCCAAATTTTCAAATTACAAGTATGGTCGAGTTTGGTAGGAGGTGTTTGGTGTTTGGTAGGAGTTTGTAGGATGTGTGGCAGTGGCGCGATCTTGTAGTCTTGTTAGTGACTAAGGCCGTCATATCCTTAAAAACAGCCTTTAATTAATAGCCCATACAGCTAGTTATGTCAAGACCTGTAAAATGATACAAAACTCAACCATACTTCCTGTTTGAAAATTTTAAGCTATCCCCAACCCCAATTACAAGTATGGTTGAGTTTGGTAGGAGGTGTTTGGTGTTTGGTAGGAGTTTGTAGGATGTGTGGCAGTGGCGCGATCTTGTAGTCTTGTTAGTGACTAAGGCCGTCATATCCTTAAATACCCCCGCCGCAGCAAACCTGCCGTCTAAGCGAATTTCCATTTGGCCGAAAAGATTTTCAATTGATCTATTTAAATAACATTAGGTTTAACGAGTACCTAGGTTTGCTGCTACAAGGAAACTAATAGTGTAGTTTTAGTAAAATATTGATAGCTTACTATAAAATAAATAAATTTGCCAAGTTTGATCAAAATATATCCATAAACAAGAAAACTACAACATTTTACAATATTCTCCATAAGAATAACATGGGAATTTTAAATTTACCATTTTTTTAGTTTTCTCCGTAACCAATAACCGTACAAAAACACTTTGATATACTGAATTGTTTGTTTTTTTAAGCTCTTTAAGAAGGTTTAGAGAAAAATTGGGAAATTTTGTGTTTTTAGGGTAAAAAGTGAGAAAAACCAATTTTTACCCCATAAAACCCTGTTCCCATGGTCCGATCATGCTGGATCGCGAACTCATTCAAGTTTATCCCGGCTTACACCTTCAAACCAAATTTCATCAAAATCGGATAAAAATTACTCAAGTTATCGTGTTCACGGACACATATATAAAAATTTGAACGAATGGTGTTTTTGGCCTCTGGGGACATTAAAATGAAAAAGTAAATCGGTCCCGGGCCTAAGTCTTACCATGAGACCTACGGTAATAGCTACTTCCCTATAGGGAAATTCGCTAAAACAGCCTTTAATTAATAGTCCATACAGCTAGTTATGTCAAGACCTGTAAAATGATACAAAACTCAACCATACTTCCTGTTTGAAAATTTTAAGCTACCCCCAACCCCAATTTTTTTTAAAATTAACCATCATTATTATAGACCTCCATATCCAAACAGGTTGCCGCAAACCGATTTCAAATAGTATCTCAAATAGTTAAAAAGTTAAAGGGGGTGTAAGTTAATTTTCAGCCCTCATGGTTATTTGGATTTGAAACGTTTTAGGACACCATTTTGTTATTAGTGGGCTGATTTTGGTTTTCTTTATGTCAATTGTTTTGTTTCGTCAACACTTGTAAAATTATACCAAACACGACTATACTTGCCATTTGAAAATTTGTAGCTACCCCCTACCCCTAAGGGCAAAATTTTAAAAATTAACCATTATTGTTGAAGCCCCTCAGTTATATAACACTTACCCAATAAAATATAAAGGAAAATTAAGTGAAAGTATTCCAAAACTGTGAGCTATGATTTAAGTTTTTCTTATGTATTAGGACTGTTTGCTTGCCAGCGGTACCAAGTATTGGTTGTAGTAAGTGTAATACTCACCATGCTTCTCAATAATGGCAATATCAATGGATTGACCGTTAAGTTCTTCAATTTTTCTGGCCGATGGAGGATATATGGGTCCTACTCTTGTATAACCTCTACCCTCATAAATCTGTCCATCTCCCCCTATGAGAAAACTGAAGAACACAAATTTGGTTTATTTCTAGAGAAGCAGAAGAATTATCAGTATAAATATCTGTGAATTTACATGTAATCTAGGATATATACAGGCTAGATATATATCAACATTTATGAATGAGATGAAAAACAAATGTTTTTTTTGTTTTTTTTTTAGCAAAAAACATTTATCAAGGTTGTCGGGTAAAATGTGAAAAAAACCTAATAAATGTTGGATGAAATGGAATATCAATCAGTCGTAAGGCTACTAAATTTTGATTCTTGAAATTGGTATCTCGTTAAATGCAAAGCAATAATAAAGTTATACAGACACAGACCTTAGTGAAGCTGTAGCGACGTTTGGTTTGGGGTACCCCACCTGACCTGAAGCACTGGGCAATGGCGGCGTTGACGAGTCCATGTCCATGTTGAAACACTATTGCACTATTTTACAAATAATTGTCCGTGTACAATAAACGAAAAGTAATTTCTTCTTGAAAAACAAATAATAGGTGTCACTTTTACTTAGCACTGTACAGATTGATTAATTTGGAAATTCAAATATGAATAATTGCAGTGGCGCACCCAGGAGGGGGCTTTGGGGGCTTAAGCCCCCCCCCAAGGACCTAGGGTTAATTTTTTTCGATGGCCAGGAGTCAGCAGTATATACAAAAATGTTTCATTTGTAATTTCAGAATGTAATTTTTAATATATCATTAACTTTAAAACTATTCTTACAACAGGATTTAAATTAAATACAGCCATGAGCACGCGTTTTGTAACGAGTATTTTTTAGGCCTATGTAGACAAAAAGAGACAGAACGGCTCACCCGCCTGCCTCATAGTGTAGTGACTAGTGATTGTCAATGCTACTGCACTGCCACTGCCTATGTGCTGTTGCCATTAGCGACCAGCGCTAGGCTAGACTAGCGCCGCTAGTTCTAGTTACTCCAATGATCACTTGACCTTGACGCGCTCGCACTATGTGCTGTTTTGTTGACATCGTTGAATTTTGGATTTTTTCCTTTTTTCCCCGAATAAGACCCCAAATCGAGCAGGGAGAAGGGAGGTAAAAATCTGCAAATTTTCAATCCGAACATTTCCCCGAAGTCCCGAACAAGACCAAGACCAGACAAGTTCTACCGACCGCGGTAAAAGGGAGTTTAGAGAGAGATGGAGAGCGTGTGTGAGTGAGAGCGCGTAGGCGGTAATAATAAAACAGTAATAAAACATGAAATAAAATAAAATGTTACAGAATGATAGTTTCGATTGCCTTTAACAATTTTTATGTTTATATTAATTTTGAATGAATTAAAGTATAACATCAATTACTTAATTCAAGTTAAACATCATTGGTACCGATATCATTGATTTAACGGTTTCAACTTTTAAAATACATTTTCAACTTTGACCAAACACAAGACAAAATTACAACATAAATTTCCATAATATATAACGGCAAAATATTACCCAACATTTATTTATTTTAGCAATTAAAGAGTGTAATTGCCATATTAAATTAGAACAATCAACGCTAGCGCAGGCGGCCGCTCGGTGCGGCGCTCGCGACGATGTACGGGGCAAAAATATACCGTGACACACTATCGTCATAGACTAACCAACACAAGGGAGTATGTTTTATCTATGCTATCGTACATCACTCCGTACATCGGACCGATCTACTCTTTGATCTTTCGCCAAAAAAACCGCCTCTAGAGCGCTCGTCTCCCTGCTCGGCCTGATGTCTGGTTCGCCGTCTGGATCGGTGTACGGACCCCTGACACACTTCGACCTCCCGTCTCCCTGCTCGGTTCGGGGTCTTGTTCGGAGAAAAGATCGATAGTGTGTCACCGTCTTTAACGTATTCGCACGAAAATCCCGCACTCTGCTACGTCTCGTGCGGTAATTGTCGCGCTCACACGGTAAACACCACTTACCGGGCTAGTAACGTAATACTATTTTGTAGCTGAAGTTAACAAAAACAGCTAATACAGATAATTTTACTGTCAGATTTTTTATTTACGTGTATTTATTTATATTTACACTGCTAAAATTATAATTGTATTATTTATTTCTAAAATACCAATATTGTTTTTTGTATAACATTCAATATCACATGTAAATTAATCAGATAGTTGGTTTTAGCTTACTAAATTACCTGACGGCAATGTAATATCCATTCCTTTATTCCAATATAGTAATACTACTAATACTAAAAACATCCAAAAATCCGATCAAAAAATCTCTTTTATTTGTCCCTAAATAGCCTAAAAACGTGGGTTTACAGGTATAGTTTTCAAAATTTTTCCGGGGGCGGACCCCCGTTCCCCCCGCCTACCTGGGGGGTATTCAATACCCCCCAGACCCCCCGGCAAGCATACATAAGAAGCCCCCCCCAAATCAAAAGTCTGGGTGCGCCCGTGAATAATATTGTAAAGTTGTGGGGTTATGAAGAAACGGTGCGGTTGAACGATAGAAGGATGATTTCCCGACAGCGGACGGCAGTGGACTGTGTTATTTGCAAAGATGTCAGTGGTGAGGGCAAAGGCCGCATACCTTTGTTATCGAGAAGAGCGGCTGAATAGGTAGTGTTACTTGGGCTAAGTCATTGTTTGAAACGGAGAAATGTAGGAATAAGGAATTATTTGATTTAAAACAGGGTGTCTACCAACTGGGAAATCCAGAAAACTGGGAATTGTACTTATTTTTTTACTGGCAATGAAATGTGGGAATTGTCCTTAAATGTCAGAGACTAGCATAAAAAGTCATCATCGGTTATTGAGCAATAATTTTATCCATCGCGACTTGGTTAGGAGCACATTAAAGGTTTATCAGATTTTTGTTTACATTTTCATAATTTATTACTTCAGTAATCAACTAATTATGCAATTAAAAACCCATTCGCAGTTTCAAACCCATTAATATTTTATCAGGACAATCAAGTGTCAAGTCAAGTACTTCCAAGAACTCAGTGACTCAGTAGCTTTCCTCATTAAAGTTGTATCACTTTTATTCCTTTACAACTTCTTTATTTATTACTAGATTAGAGGTCCGTGAAGTTGGCGTACCCATGTTTGCGTATCCACTTTTGATCATACCAATCGTTAGTTCATCGTTAGTTCTCGATAGTTCCCAAATTTTTTCGTTAGTTCTCAAAAAATAAAAAAGTTATAGCCGATTATAAGTGGGTACGCTAACTTCACACTTCCAGGTTCTAGCACGCGCCGTTTTCTGAGGAGAAATGTTCACATCTATATACCAATCGTTAGTTCTTCGTTAGTCCTCGATAGTTCCCAAATTTTTTCGTTAGTTCTCAAAAAATAAAAAAGTTATGAGGCATACAAAGTGGGTACGCTAACTTCACAATTGTACAATTTCCAGCGGGAACAGTTTTTTTACTATAAATGCCTAAATCTATATACCAATCGTTAGTTCTTCGTTAGTTCTCGATAGTTCTCCAAAATAAACGTTAGTTCTCAAAAAATAAAAAAGTTACGAAGCATAAAAAGTGGGTACGCCAACTTCACAGTTATAGAATTTCCAGCGGGCACAGTTTTTTTACTATAAATGACTATATCTATATACCAATCGTTAGTTCTTCGTTAGTTCTCGATAGTTCTCCAATATTTACGTTAGTTCTCAAAAAATAAAAAAGTTAAGAGGCATACAAAGTGGGTACGCCAACTTCACAATTATAGAATTTCCAGCGGGCACAGTATTTTTACTATAAATACCTATATCTATATACCAATCGTTAGTTCTTCGTTAGTTCTCGATAGTTCTCCAATATTAACGTTAGTTCTCAAAAAATAAAAAAGTTAAGAGGCATACAAAGTGGGTACGCTAACTTCACAATTGTACAATTTCCAGCGGGAACAGTTTTTTTACTATAAATGCCTATATCTATATACCAATCGTTAGTTCTTCGTTAGTTCTCGATAGTTCTCCAAAATTAACGTTAGTTCTCAAAAAATAAAAAAGTTACGAAGCATAAAAAGTGGGTACGCCAACTTCACAATTATAGAATTTCCAGCGGGCACAGTATTTTTACTATAAATACCTATATCTATATACCAATCGTTAGTTCTTCGTTAGTTCTCGATAGTTCTCCAATATTAACGTTAGTTCTCAAAAAATAAAAAAGTTAAGAGGCATAAAAAGTGGGTACGCCAACTTCACAATTATAGAATTTCCAGCGGGAACAGTTTTTTTACTATAAATGCCTATATCTATATACCAATCGTTAGTTCTTCGTTAGTTCTCGATAGTTCTCCAAAATTAACGTTAGTTCTCAAAAAATAAAAAAGTTACGAAGCATAAAAAGTGGGTACGCCAACTTCACAGTTATAGAATTTCCAGCGGGCACAGTTTTTTTACTATAAATGACTATATCTATTTACCAATCGTTAGTTCTTCGTTAGTTCTCGATAGTTCTCCAATATTTACGTTAGTTCTCAAAAAATAAAAAAGTTAAGAGGCATAAAAAGTGGGTACGCCAACTTCACAATTATAGAATTTCCAGCGGGAACAGTTTTTTTACTATAAATGCCTATATCTATATACCAATCGTTAGTTCTTCGTTAGTTCTCGATAGTTCTCCAAAATTAACGTTAGTTCTCAAAAAATAAAAAAGTTACGAAGCATAAAAAGTGGGTACGCCAACTTCACAGTTATAGAATTTCCAGCGGGCACAGTTTTTTTACTATAAATGCCTATATCTATATACCAATCGTTAGTTCTTCGTTAGTTCTCGATAGTTCTCCAATATTTACGTTAGTTTTAAAACAATAAAAAAGTTAAGAGGCATACAAAGTGGGTACGCACACTTCACAATTATAGAATTTCCAGCGGGCACAGTTTTTTTACTATAAATACCTATATCTATATACCAATCGTTAGTTCTTCGTTAGTTCTCGATAGTTCTCCAAAATTAACGTTAGTTCTCAAAAAATAAAAAAGTTACGAAGCATAAAAAGTGGGTACGCCAACTTCACAGTTATAGAATTTCCAGCGGGCACAG